AGATAGATAGATATATTGTGCGAGTGCGTGTGTGTGTTTGAGTGTTAGTGTTAGTTTGTGTTGTGTATGGGCAATTGCGTGGGCGTACGTGATGCATTCTGGTAGTGTGTGATATATCGGAAATGTAAACCCAAGAGAGTACTGTGCAAAACACCAGACGTATTATGTGCAACTATAGATCGTCATTTTGTACGGAGGCAAAAAAATCTGTATTATTGAAGGATAGCGGTGAATTCGAGTATATTTCCGGAGCTTTTAAGGTTGCAGGCTCATAGTATACAATAGTACGAACATAATACACCTGTCAAACACTGAACATATACTGAGTAGTTTAAGATTAGTTGGTATGCATACAATATATATATATATACTCGTTGATACCTTTGTCTGAGACTGATATGTATCGCCTTCTTTGGTCTGAGACTGATATGTTTCGCCTTAACTAATCTTTGAATGAACAATCGCAACACGGGTATCTGCTGCTGTAGTTATCTCGATTTGCTTGCACGCATACATATACATGTACCAAGACCAGAAAACGTACAAATTTTATACATAGTCTCGTACCTACATAAAAGACACTACACACAGAACACACTATAAACACTTCTCTATACAAATATTAGAGGTATCTTACCTCACTCGTGGATCCAGTGGTATAGTAGGTGACTGGACTATGGACACCGCTAAGTCCCCCAAATATATATATTACAAATGCACACTTTTTTGGAAGTCAAAAAAAGTTTATGTAAAAAAAAATTGAAATAAAAAAGGATGCTATTTGAACGTTTTCGTAAAACAGAAACAAAAAAGGATAAAAAGAGGTACTGTACAGTACAAGTGTACAATGGTCTTAAAAAAAGTTAAACGTAAACGCGTATTTTTTCCGATTTATAAACTTCATACCGATTATGCTTTAAACGGAACAATAGACTGAAAACACATCGATCTATTTGTTCAATTGAATGGGCACGAGCGGGATATTCTGTATATAATTGTGAACCGTAGGGCTCCATCTATGCACCTACACACCCATATGGACATCCTCGAAAAGAACATTGAACGAAACGTAAATTTATTCATTCAAAGTTTATAAAAGTCGAAATGGAAAACGTTCTATATTTTGTAGAGGCAAAATAGTAGAAGTCTGTATTTTCAACAGACCCTAATACAGTAAACAAACAAGGAGCTAAAGTGGTGTATTTAGTGTTCAACATCATATCGCTTGTGTTTATTCTTTATTTTAAGCATCGTAGCGCTGCGTATAGTAGTATCATTGAGTGTTCATCATGCCAACGGCTTTAGTTATTCTGGCTCCAGGGCAAGAGGAAATTGAAACCACTGCAGCCATCGACATACTGAGGCGCGGGAAAGTGAGTGCTTTTGATTATCGGTTCTTCAGCAGACTACACCCGTATTTAACTGTTTATTGCAAGTTCATTCAATTGTAATAGCATCATATTGCAAGTGAGGGGGATTGTCTGTACACAATATTCAAATGCACAAATACTAAAACGAGACGTAGGAGAGTCACACAGACAAAGATAACATGCCTTGTAGTTTAGCTTTCACACTACCCTGATCAGAAGGAAGGCTATTTAGCCCATCGACATATGGTTATAGGAATAAAATTTCGATGTACAATGTAAATCGTATCACGATGGTTTGCGAGAATTTTGGAGAAGAAATACCTTTCCGACAGGAAGCTATGAGCCTGTTGAGTATTATTGAAATGGATCAGTGGTTTGCACAGGTTGATTGAGGGAGTGGTATTGTTCTGGCATAAGAGAAAGTACCGAACAGGCTATTGAAGTTTCTAGACAGAGACGCTATTCTATGCGAATCACTCGTCTGTAGTTAATTTGATCGCAGTCCGCATTGCATGTATGGCTTTTTCACCAGAACGCGCGACGTGTGTCCTTAGACCTGTGCTGATTTCAAGTCAGTTGGCTTTTATTATTATTCAAGTTGTAAGTTGAAAGCATCTATTTATTGCTTAATAGTGGTCAAGTAAGAACTTGCTGCAGTCCAGCTCAAAGTTCTCATGTAGTTGTCAAGTCTGCTTTTTCCAACCTTCTTCTTTGATATATCGCAGGTAGAGGTCACTGTCGCCGGTCTCGAGGGCACAGATGCCGTGGTATGCAGTCGCAATGTGTCGATTGTTCCCGACGAAAGCCTGGAATCTGCCGCGTCCAAGGTAGGCTTGCCCAGTGTTTCACCGGCGTTTGCCACCTTGGATTGTTTGTGATTTTTTTCCCCCATACCCCGACCTGTTTGTTGTAGTGTCAGTATGTGAGTGTATTTGCTCAGCTGTCGCTATATACTGTATGGCAGCCTCGGTCAATTGCGTCCTCCCACCGCTCTGTGTGGCGAAGCAGCTCCCTTGTTTTATGTACCAGTGGGGACCCGTATGACTTCTCAGTTCTCAGTTGTCTCTCCATGCCTTGTCTGGTTTACAATACTGGGTTGAGTTATCGACTCTTCACTCAATTGGATTCAGTGCATCTGTATAGCTTTTGTATCAATACGTGCTGGACGTACAACACACCGATCGTAGAGACTACCGTTGATGAGGTGTCGATTGCTATTTGGGGTAATTCAGTATAGACGGACAACCAGGAATGATTTTAGTCTCCAATGCTCCATGGCACAGTACATATCTTCTTGTCCCCCTTTTTTTTTGGACAGGGCCCATATGATATGATTGTACTACCAGGCGGTATGGGTGGTGCCAAAGCCAACGCTGCCTCGTCAGCTGTCAAATCCCTTCTCGCCGAACAAGAAAAGGCTGACCGATACATTGCGTTGATCTGTGCAGGTACTGTCCTAGTTCAGATCGTCCGGATCAAGTGGTCGTACTTTGCGTTGTTCGCTACTAGTAGAGGTGGGCCGTGGTACAAATGCACAGGCGAATCCAAGTAATGTGAGCCGCTTCTAAATGCTTGAACTGCTGCCGCCTGTCGTTGTTGGTGCAAGCAGTTGGAGCGATTGGTGTTGCAGACCACCTGCAGGTTGTAGAATGACGCTCTGTGATTGGCGTTGGGCAGTACACAACCCAAATCTGATGAGCCCTTAGTCCGCACAAACATTTCTGTACAATCGTACAAGCCATATAGTGCAGTGTTTCTTTGTTTGGTGTACCTAGAAATAGAACTCCAGGTGACAAGCTCCCCTGGTACTCGGAGGTAGCTATATACGAATTCACTTTCTTCGTAGTCACTTCGAGTATCATTACATGTTTTGTGTAGCATCCTCACAATCTCGCCGGTTATCCACCTCGCCTCTAAAACTTACAATTGGTTTTCCTATTGGAGCAGGACCCCTGTCACTCATCAGCCATGGCATAGGCAAAGGGAAAAAAGTTACTTCTCACCCATGCATCAAAGATGATCTTATTAAAGCCGGTGAGTTCGTCTTTCGCGAATTTGCGGTGCACTTTCATTCATTTTCGGCAATTCAGGCTATCTCCGTGTGCCCAGCTGTGTATCGCATACCATTGTGCTAATTAGAAAATAATAGATCCTTTTGATGAACTCACTTTGCATTCATAACTATATTTCTAATTTCGGCACAGAATACGAATACAGTGAGGACCGTGTAGTCGTCGACGGAAAGCTTATCACAAGGTGAATCGTGTTTCCCATGTTTATCTGTCATGGTAGAAGGTAGCGTGTTCTGCTCTTCGCTTAACTATATGCGGCTGACTTCCAAGGGAAGATGTAACTTGCAATCTCCCCTGCAATTTAATCCCGTGTTTGTTACGACGCCATATGCTGACTCCAAATCACCACCCATTCTCATATTTGCTAGCTTTATCTTGTATTTGTATCTCTAAATACTACATCTCATAAAATACCCATCGATTCGCAGCCGTGGGCCTGGCTCTGCCATTGAATGGGGTCTCGCACTAGTGGAGCAGTTGGTGGGCAAGGAAACCGCCGACGAGGTGCGTGCCCCTCTTATAATGCTTTAAGAAGTCTTCGCTACCGTTGCGAGCTATCCACTTCGTCCCGTTGAGCACGCCTCGACCGTCTCGTAACAAAGAAATTGGCCAGGCTGCCGGAACAGCATTTTTTGGACCTGCGGCATGTACTCGGACCAAATGCCACAAGGCCCACGCATACGGTAACCATATCAGTACTCGAGACGTGGGCGGGCATACTGCAACTCTCGCTCAAAGGACAGCCATTCTGGCAGGAAAAATATTGAGAATCTATTTCAAGGTACCAAGGAACTGGCCTCCAAATATCAAATCGTAAATAAAATATCAAAGTTTGAATTGGATTCATGAGCGTGTTCGACTCGTTCACATGACGGTACATTGCGATCTCGCGCAAATACACGAAAACGACCACATGAGGAAATATTCAAATGTCAGACCCTTCTTTTTTCCTTTCCGTGATAAATGCCCTTGCAGTACTCTTTTCGATGGTAATAATGGCACAAACCTGTCAGATTCGCTGCCACCTCAGAGTGATGTGTTATCCAAGTCACAAGTAGAAGTTGAGACCAGCTAGTCCGTTGTACACTCAGTGAAGTGTTGTATATCGCCAAACCTGGCATCGGATCGCTTATAGATTGAGAATGACAATTCAAAGTTCTCATCATACTTGCAGGTCTGACAGGGCTAGCTTTGGATGGCATACGTCCCTCGAACGTATATCTATCGGGGCTATAACTTTCAAAGTAAACGTGCGTACATCTTGAATCTGATGTTGAAAAGGTGTAGTGTGTTTTATTTCTCTGAGGTCCAACATTCCCGGGCTGAATAACATATCTGCGATAGGCTAGATCTCAAGGAGTTGGTTACCAAGTTTATGCTTCTATAAAATTCGCAGCAAAGAGGCCATGATGTAGTTATTGTAATTTCCGTATGTATGTATCCGAGAGTACTGTGCAATTTGGGGTGACACCAGGCACTTGTCACCGTCGCAAGCAAGCAAGTGTCCTCGTATATTCACAAAATAAACAATCAAGCTGTAGCTTCCTCATCCAGCTCCAACTCAGGGAGTATCACCCAAGTGAACCTCTTTGACATCGTATTGATGGCTCTCACTAGGCTGGACATATCATCCCGATGTGAAACTGCGAGCACATGGATAACACGAGCAGTCACTCTGTTCTCAAGGCAGCAAACGATGTCAAGGCATGTATTCAAGCTCTCGTTATTCCGTCGCACGCCGCCATCCACACGCCTCTTTTTCGAGACTCGCTAACATAAACCTCTTATTAGAAATTTATAGCTTACCTGTACCAAATTGAAATGCGGCGAATGTCCTCGAGTAAACACATGAGCCATCCGTTGCGGGCTGCCAAATGAGGAACTCGAGAGGCCGAGTAAGAACCTCAAGAAGACTTGAGCGATCAGGTATCCTTGTCAGGTGATGAGCTGTCAGGCGCATTCTCCAATTCTGTGCTGTACTGAGACTCCAGCATAGTCGTCGGAATTAAAACTTTAATCATCGAAGAAGTGGTATTTAACCTCGATGGCCCCTTTGTAGATTGCAACGAGTATGTTCCGTGTATTTTCCTGTGCATTTACAAAAGCATCGAGATTCAGTGCCATGTCAACTTTGAGTTGACCATTCCAAAAAAACTCATGAGATAGTGGGGGAAGTGGATACAGCTCGGCAACCGAGAATCAAATAACATTTGAGTAGTTTAAGTACAAACGAAACTGGTTGGCACAGACACAAGTTCCTATCGTTCACACACAATTAT